TCTCTAATATTTTATTAGCCTAAGTATTTTTAAGAAATAATAAAAGGAGGCTTAGGAGATCACCTTGCTGTCTAAGAGACATTGTTCTTACTGCCATGCAAATGTTGGGATACTGTAAAATCGGTCACAACTATTGGCTTCATGAACTGTTTTCACAGACCCTTTATGGCAAATATAACCATACTGAAAACTTTGAAATTAAAATTGAATTAGAATTAATAATTACATTTTTCTTCTTGAATTCTCACTGCTTGAACAAGAATCCCTGGAGGACATGAATGAGGTATAAGAACTCTTGCAGAAACGTGTACAGGAAAGTGTCGCGTTGTAAGATTGTGGAGAAATTTGCTGAATGTTGAACTTTTAGGTGTGCTGTTTTGTTATTTTCTCATTGTAGCTGTGTGTTTTTGATCTAAAAGTTTTAACAGAGCTTTTGGCATTGAGGGACAAGATAATGATGGAGAATTTGGCAACTTGGAAGACCAAGAAGGAGATGAAAATGTGAAATAGTGATGGTTTAGTGCAGGGGTCTCCAAACTTTTTGAAACGCGGGCCACATTAGGTAATACAGCACTTTCAACAGGCCGGATAAAATGAGAAATTAATAACTCTAGGTATATGGGTTCTGCCAGTCATGGTAGCCGAGCTGTCTAAGGCGTGTACTCTCTTCGCTCGCTTGGAAACCGGGATCGTGGGTTTGAATCCCACTCGGAGCATGGATGTATAGTTTGTGTGTGTGCATTTTTCTATGTTTGTATACAGGTAGACGCCTTGCGACGAGCAGATCACCTGTCCAAGGAGTCCTACCGATTGTGTAAGATCTAGAAAAACCGAAGTGAACGGAGAAGTTCATGGAGGTAGGCCTAGGCCCACTGTGGCTGTAGTGCCAAAGAAAAAAAAGTTTTATTGAAAGCACAGAATTTCGTAAACTAAATACAAAGTATGTGAGAATAAATTATCGTATATTAATGACAACAGACAGTAGCAGCAAATGCTCATATTTTCATCACAAATTATAATAAAACAATTAATGTGAATGATGGAACTCTTTTTGCATTCTTAAAATCTGATTAAATTGAAGTGATGATCTGTTACATTTACACTGCACCACTGCAAGAAGTCTTGTGCACAAGACGACTAGTAATGAACTGCTCGTGCTACCTACATTGCCACGAAGTGATACTGCCGATCGAGGCCGAACAAGTATGAAGAAATACCGCACAGTATACGGTAGAGAATTAGTAAAATTGTGAATAATATTAATATTAACATAATATGGAATATCAATATAACACAATCTTAATTAATGAATTTGAAATCTATGAACAAGTATTTTTTTACCAGTACTCATTGGAAAATTAGTTCAATTGGCGCATTTCTGCACAATTCTTTTGCCGGCCGGATAAAATCACATCGCGGGCCTCAGTTTGGAGACCCTTGGTTTAGTGTAAACTAGGGCACAGCCAGCTGGAGATGATAAGGTCAGCAAAAATTATGTAAATAAGTTCTGAAGAGGTAAGCTGTTAAGTAGTTTGAACAGTCAGGTACAAGAATAATAATAATAATAATAAAAGGGATTTTATCGTATTTATTGGCATAGTTTTGCTAATATTTGGACTCATAGACAAGCATGCAATAATTGTATGTATAGAGAGAAGGAAAGTAAAGAGGAGACAAAGTACTGGGCATAGTGTAATGCCCTTTGATCAGCATGACCCTTAAAGCAACTTCCATTTATTGGTGATTCAGTTATTCAAACTCGTAAGGAGGACTGTGCATCTTTTCCTTTATTTCTTTGCTCCCCCTTTTGGTGGAGAGGGTATTTAGCCATACTTTCAGTGTCAAGGCTCTACACCGTTAGAGAACTGCGCTAACTAAGTTTGATGCTGCAAATGTTAAAAGTGTCTGATAAATCTACTTTTGTCGTATTATTATCGTGTTTTTGGATGTTATCCATCATCGTGTTCTTTTTTTAAAATATTTTGGAGAACGAATTCTATCTCTGTCTTCATGAAAAAACCTACTTGTTTGGGCGAAAACAGAATCCAGCTCTGAAACGTTGTTTTAAGTAAAAAACAGGTCATTGGATAATGTCCAAAAGCATAATATTTGTATTAATAGACCATCAATACAAACTTTTAGATCTCATCTACTTACGTCAGTTTTGGCAGTGACTATTAATTTTATTAGGAAGTATCCTCATTTTTAGCATACTTTTACGTTAAAAATAGGCTTGTTGTGTAGTGATTGATGGTTTTAATAAAGAAATTGAAAGGAATTGCTCTTGGTCCAATGTATATGTAAATTTGAGAAATGTAAGTTTAATACACGTCTAAGGCATGCACTGTCTTCGCTCGCTCGGAAGCCGGGATCATGGGTTCGAATCCCACTCAGGGCATGGATGTTTGTGTGCGTTTTTCTGTGTTTGTCTACAGGTAGAGGCCTTGCGACGAGCTGACCACTCGCCCAAGGAGTCCTACCGAATGTTTAAGATCTAGTAAACCGAAGTGAAACGGAGAGTTTCATGGAGGTAGGCCTAGGCCCAAATTGGGGCTGTAGCGCCACAGAAAAAAAAAGTTTAATGCACTCAGCTAACGTAGCTGTATTTCATGTAATATTATATTAGTGCATCCTGTTGCACATCATTTATTATTCAACAAGCATCACTGATTTACTGTCTTATGTGGAACGTGTCCTTCTAAAACTTATTTAAAAGTTTCTGTAATTTGTACTACATGTTTCAGCCAACACTGGGCATCATCAGGTGTTTCAGATTGTTGGTGAAAACAGGAAGTTCCACCCAGCACAATGGAATACATGAGCGCATAGATGGAGCTGCACATCAAATATTTGAACAACAAAATGGACGCACAGCAGTTGCCACCAACAATTTTAAACAGCTGATGATGACCAGTGTCAGTGGGAACATGTAGTGCCATGTACAGAAACTTTTAAATAAGATTTAAAGATGCATTGTGTGATGTAAGAAACTTTCAAATAAGTTGTAGAAGGACACGTTGCACGTAAAGTGGTGAATCAGTGACATTTGTTGAATAATTATTTCAGTTAATAAAGCTCACATTAATTCAAAGTGCTGGATGGCCAATTGAGAGAGGGATGTAAGGGAAGGTGCGGATTATTATGTAGGTGAGGGAAGAGAGATGTGAGGAGAAGGAAAAATTTGTCGTAGCTCAGGAGCCTCTTCTGTGCACTTGCTGTGATTGCTCTTTGAGGAGGAAGGTAACTTTCAGTACAGTATCGCCTTATTTTTTTATTTATGCAATTTCACCTTCAGTTTTTTTTTTCTTTTTTTCTTTTTTTTTTTTNAAAGGGTATTTTCTTTACATATTCTCTTTTTTTTTTTTTTTTTGATTTTTTCCTTTTTTTTTTTTTTTTTTTTTTTTTTTTTTTTTTTTTTTTTTTTTTTACCATCTGCCACATAAATTGGCGAGTACCTGTATTATTCTGAGAGTTACCCATAGGGACTGTGGAAACCCACAAGCAACATAAGTCAGGGTGGGTCATGTTGTGGTCAGGATTCAAACCTCCGGAACGTCCATTAACCTTCAGTGGACTACACAGCATTATATCCCCGAAGATAGGACTCTTCATAACCACTGCTGTGAGAACCTCAAATTCTGATATTGAGGTAGATCAAAACTACAAATTTTGTATGAAATATTTTTACATAACTGCTTCCCAGAATCACACATTGACCTACTTTCTATAGTAGTTTCTCTAGTAGTTTGACAAGTAAACTTAGGCATACGATACTATCACATATATAAGTCTTCTCACTCAAGTAACGTCAGACTGAAGGAGTGCATTTGATACAAACATAATATCATTCAAGGCACCTGACATTCCCACTTCCAGAGTTTATTCCATTGTATTCCCTGAATTTTTGTGCGGTAATAGGTTTTTGAAGCCAGGATAGCATTTTTGGTATAGCGACTGGCTACAGGCTGGATGGCCGAGGGGTTGGAGTTCCTGTAGGGGCAATATTTCTCCTCTCCACATCATCCAAACTGATTCTGGGGCCCACCCAGCCTCCTGTCCAGTGGGTACCAGGGGGTAAAGTGGCCGGGTCGTTAAGGTGACCACTCACCTCCAACTAGTGCCAAGGTCAAGAATACATGGATGTATACATATCCACTCCCCCATACATCTTCATGACATAGTGCTTAAAATTCTTTATTGGAGTCTGTTGTAACAACAACATAATGGTCAAGGTTAAGGTTGTCTTACGATGGACTCCAATAAAGAATTGTATATAATAACACAACAGGATGCACAAAATGAAAATTATAGTGCTTAGTTAAATGCAAGGAATTTTTTTTATATGGAACATTTATTAAAGTCACTAGCTTGTATAGCTGAAAATAGTGACATGGCAGCCACACTAAACCTGTGTAATTTATCGTTTGACAAGTTATATGCAATGTTTGTATGTTAACAGTTGCAAATACATTGATTGTGTTATGTCGTATATGTGTCTTACGGAACAATGGAGAGCAGAGTCCTTCTGGATAAGCTGATAGTTCCTTAACTATTCAAGAAATTCTGTACATTCAAAGGAATCAAAAGTGTATGGTCCTGTGTGTGAGAACCTGCCACTTGAATTCAGTCCACGTACTCACTCTTAGGATCCGGGTTAATAGTATCCTCCTGTTTATGCCCGATTCTCCCTTGTGGTATCTCCCCTCCACATGTTCCGATTAAATTTCTGTACAAATTTCTCATCTGCCATCCATCCCATTTGTCTCATTCTCCCTGATTTGATCACTTGAATCTAGTGGTGAAAAGAGGCAGATGGGTTGTGAAGTTCTTCATTGTACAATTTTTCTCCATATTCCTGTCACAGCTTTCATAGGTTAAAATACAGTGGCATCCTCATGTACTTAATGCTGTGATATGTTTCATGCTATCCTTATAAAATTGTGAGATATATTGGGCTTTTGTATTACTGTTTGCTCATTGTCATTAATTTTGACTTTCAGGTGTGACTTTGCTGCCCCTCAGCGAATAATTGAACCACTTAGAAACAGCATAAATGTTTCAGAAGACAATGAACCTCTAATTACTCCATCCCTAAAAGTATTGGAACCACCCAGCTCGTTACGAAGGTTGGCAGATTACCGTAAAAAGATGATGATTGATCTCGAAGGATCTCTTGTGTTGGCTCCAATTAGTGGGAATAACTCTGCTGGAAGTGAAAGTGTACCTGAAGAGCCAGTTTCGTCTGGAACGTCTCACGAAATTCCTGGTACCCATATCCAGATGAAATCAGAACCTCCTCAGTCCCCATTGTCTCTCACACTTGTGTCTGATGAGTGTGAACCTGCACCACTACCTTCTAATACCAGGAAACTGAACTTAGAGTTTGTTGCTGTTCGTTTGCCCACACCCATCCTAGCGCCTAGTAAGGATACGCCAGAGCTCCAAGGTACACAGCTAGTTCATAGCCAGGACATTTCAGCCAAGCCTGAAGTGGCAATTAGGGTGTCAATTTCAACTCCACCTTCAACATCAGTTGGCAATAATATAATTGATGCCCCTATTTCATTATCGTTGGAAGAAGAACTGACAATTTGCAATGGTGTAGTTATGAGAAGCAATGAACATGGTCACTCAGATGCTCATAATATGCTTGGTTCTCCAGTGGAAGTGGAGGAAATAGTAAAATTGTCAGCTTCCCCTCTGACAATCCCGACAGACAAAAATGTATCTCCAAAGATGCCTGGTATTACTAGTACAGTTCCGGGTTCCAAGAAGTCGTTGCTATTAGAAACAACAAATAAGAGTGACAATACAGGATTAGTACAAAAAGCTAACAGTGCCACCAAGTCACCCAGAAGAAAACCGGTCGTAGTCAACACTGAGAATCCACTAACAAATTATTTCAAGCCTGTATCTATTACGTTGACTGCAGATGATGACGAAATTGATAGTAGTCGGAAGGGAGCCGCTCGAACGATTCATCTAAGTATAGAGAGTTCAAATAGTGTGAACATACCAGTTCCAATTCCTGAACCAAATGTGTGTCAGCAAAGTTCAGAGGCAGCTCACGATCCACAACAAATTGTTTCCAAGCACACAGAGGTTCTGGAAGATGGTCAAGTCCCTTCTGCGTCCAGTGTAGAGATTCCATGCACCACAAAAGAAAATATCATTGAATGCGAAGCATCTGACTGGAGACAAGTGTTAAGTCCCGTGAAGGTGGTTGTAGAGAAAATTGAAGATTTCGTTTTACCCAAAACATTTTCGGCTTTGGAAACAACACCACCTTTAAATGTAGAACATGATAAAGAGCTGCCTTCTGAGGTCAGTAGTAGCAGTCGTCGTAAAACAAAGAGTCCTCTGAAGAGAAATGCTGGAGATCCTAAACTACCTCCTTTTAAGAGTAACAGTAGGATGGTTCAGCATGTGCAAACAAAACAACAGTGCATGGAAGTGATGTCTAAAGTTAAACTTTCCAAATCAAGTAGCAGACTTAATAAAAGAAAGGAGAGCGGAGAGATGAGACCTTTGAAACGCTCAGCTCGAATCCATGGTGGCAAGTATGCTAGTAGTGGCCACGTGATAAAAGCGACTATGGAAGAAGCCATTCCTGGTCCAGAAACTGCTTCAGGAGACAGGATTAGCCCTTCATTATTACCAGCAGCTTCTAGAAGGATATCCAGATCAAAGACAAAACGCAAATCTGGCAACACTAAAAGTAAGATAATTGAAAATAATATGGATGTGCCACAGAGTGAATTCTCAGAATTGTCCACTTCTGAAGGTCAGCATAAACCGTTTCTTCATTCCCATGGAATTTTGGATGGTGTGAAAGGTAACAGGCATAATATTAGCAAGTCTTGCATACCATTGAGCATTAATGATTTGAATGAATGTGGACAAGTTAAAATTGATGAGAATGATTCACTGCCAGTCTGCAGTAAGGAAAAGGTCATTGGTGTAGAAATCGGCAAACAGAATGGCTACTCCTCAAAAAAAAATATCAGAGAAGTTAGTGGAGATACTTACAAGGGCAGTGAGCTCTCAGATTCAGCAAGTACTGAAGCAGTTGATGTGGAAGCGTGCAGAGAAAGTATGCCTAATAGTGCTGAATCCTTGATACTGCATGTTGAAATGCAGGAAACTGGTCAGGAACCAGTTAGTCATACAGTATCAAATGGTGTTACTTCTACATCAACAAACAAGGAAGTAAAGAGTGCAAAAACAAGGGACCAAAATACATTCAGTAATAGTAAATTGTTCAAATCAAACTGTGAGGCACAGGCAGACGGTGTCAAGTTTACCAAAGGGAACATTTCAGATAGTAATGGTGCTTTAAAAGTAAGCCCTAGAAAATTAGAGGTAACTAATACAGAAGTGTCCAAACAAGATACTGTGGATCCCTTACAGCAGGTGCATGATGAAATGCCAGCAAGTGGCGTAAAGATTTCTGAATCAGGTACCTCTAACAGTAATGATTTTGTAGAAGTTGCAGTACAAAATGAAACTGTACCAAATTTGGAAACATCTGCTGATACAGGAACCAGTAAAGATGAAGCATACAATATGCTAAAAGAAGGTTGCAGTAAAGATATTAAGCCAACTGCTGAAGGTACAGATTCTCATACAAGCAATGAAAGTTTGACTTCCATTGTTAACATTGACAAAAGAGATGTTAAATCTATGTTGTCAGAAATAAAGAGCAATCCATGTATTGAGGAGACATCAAAATTGGAAGTAGAAAATGAAAAAGAGATCAGTTCCAATGAGGCAGTTCCAGAACTGTCTGTGAGGTGCAGAAAATCCACTTCCAAACCGAAAAGTTCTGTAACATTACTTGGAAGTGCTGGAACAGAGATGAACCAGGAGAAGCTTACTAACATCTCTGGCTGTCAAATTGGTTGCAGCATGAAGATGGATACACTGCTAGGTCCTGAGGGTCTTAGTGCTGAAAGAAGTGAGTTGCAGGTTACTGAAGTGGAATGTGGGGAAAGAAACATAAGTAACATCCAGGATAATCACAGTTTGGTTCAAACTGAGGATGTGTGTACAAATAGAAGGAAAAGAAAAGTTTGCCGAATGGGATATGAGAAAGGTTTAAAGACAATGCAGGTAACTCTCAGATCTGAGTCATCTCACCTTGAACAAAGTAGTTCAGATACCACAGTGATTGAGGATAACTTGATGTCACTACCTGAAGATGGTAGGGAGGACTGTTACACAAGGAACCCCGAAATATGTGCGGCATCAACCACAACAAAAGAGACTGTTCTTAATGTGACAAAAACAACCCCACCTATATTGGCTGCTATAGTGACAGCTGACACTCCCAGTGCAATGAACATTCTGCCAACAAGTGTAGAAAAGGAAACTGAGCCTGTATATTCATGTGATGACCAGGCTACAAAGGAAGGCATTTCTGAGAAATTGAATGAAAGTATGAGTAATTTTTGCAAGGAGGACAGTTCTCCCGTGGGAAAGGTTGTTAGTGGTGAGAAGGTTGTACCCAAACAAAGAACACGATATTCAGCTGTTAATAAGGACAAGCCACGTAAACTTCGTTCTTCTACAAGCAAACAGATGCCGCTGGGTTCATATGTTCAAGTTAAGATGAACAGACGAGTGAACAAGAAATCACAAATTTCAGATCAACCAAAAGAATTAGGGGATCGGACACGTGTGGAAGTTAGTGATGTGGCTGTGTTGTCACGGAAACACTTAACTGAAAAGGACAGTAAAAATAAACTGGATTTAAAGACTTCTTTAGAGTTTGCAAAGACCACTTCCTGTGTTTCAGAATCGGAAGTAACTCTGTCATGTGTTGAAATACCAAGTGCCACAACTGACCCAGAAGGAGCACAGACAGATTCTCAGAAAGTTACAGACTCAGAGGATGTCATTGAAAGTTCTCAGGATTCAAGTGCTGCATTGGCGTTCGTAGTGTCTAGGTTTCCATTAATTCACAAGTGTAGCGTTTCAGTTCGTAGAATTAATACCACTTTAGAAGCTGGTGCTAAGATTGATATATCTCAGGGTGACCAGAAACTTATGGTTCTTATACCTCCAGACTCAAGGTCTCCCTTTAAAGTGTGCACTCCTGAGAAGACAACATTAAATGCTGTTCAAGAAGAAAAATCTGAAAAGACAGGTATTGAGGCTGAGAAAGCTCATTGCTCAAAGCTTCTTTCTGCTACTCGATTTTTGTGCGGCAAGCATGGGCCTCTAAATCAGTTGGATTCAGTGCAAGACAAGCCAGATATGCCACTGGTGACCAATTCTTCAAGAGATAAGAGTGTGCAAGAACCTGTGAGCAAGGTCATTGTGTCAAAATTTACACAAAATATTCCAACTACTAGAAATGACATTCCAAAACAAAGATATAAAAAACAGAAATGTGACCATAACATATTAAATGTTGCCAAAACTGATGCTGCAGAACCCAGATCTAAAGAAATTGTTGGCATATTAACATCTAAGGAGTGTGTACCAGCTGTTACATCAGCTGGAGCCCTGAGGACCAAATCCAGGCAATGGACTAGCACAATGAAACGTGAGGTTAGTTCTCCAGTAATTAATGTTAGTGGTCCTCCAAATCTTCGACGAAGGAGTAGTAACACGCTGAAATATGTGGATAATGTTTTGCCTGTAATGGATGAAACTGCACGCACCAAATTAAAAAATACATTTAACAAGCATGGAACTCAGGATGAAATTGCACCTGTAACCATGAGTAACGCTTCAAAACAAGTATCCAGGCAACAGTTTGACAAATCTAAACCCATGGATACCAAGGAACAGAGTGATTTGTTAAGAACTGATGATAGTATTTCTGCAACCATCAGACATGATACTCTAGAATTCAGATGTAAAGCTGATGTTTCAACAATAGGCAAAGAAGATGCTTCAAAACTGCGTTTGAAGAAACAGATTAACATTCCAAGATCTGAAGATGGCATCTCATCAGTATGCAAAGAAGATGCTTTGAAACCTCAATCCAGACAGCAGAAAAACAAATCAGTATCCATGGTTAATGTTTCAGAGGTCATTAATGAAGACATGTCAGAGCCTCATTCCAAGCAGCAGATTAATATATCAGAATCCGAGAATAATGTGTCGGCAGTCAACAATGTAGACACTCCAAAACCACAATCCAAGAAACAGATTAACATATCTCTGTCTAAGGGCAATATTTTGACAGTTGACAGTGAAGACACTCCAAAATTTCAGTCCAGGCAACAGAATAGTGCTTTACAATGTGAAGAAAGTGCCTTAAGAGTTTATAAAGAAGACACTCCAAAGCCTGAACCCAGACAACAGACTGATATATATGTTCCTGAGGACATTGTTTCAACAGTCAGTGCTGAAGATATTCAAAAACTGCAGTTCGATGTACAGATTAATGCTTCAAAGTCTGAGGATGATATTTTGAAAACCTGCAAGAAAAAAAGTCTGAAGTCTCGGTCCAAGCAACAGATTAATGCATTGGTATCCGAGAGTAATGTTTCATCAGTTCGCAGTGAAGACATCTCAAAACTTCAATCCAAGCAACTGGTTAATACAAAATCAGGCAGCAGTGATTCAGCACAAGAAAAAGAAGACACTCAGAAACCTCAATCCAAGCAAGTGATTAACACATCAACATCAGAGAATGGTATTTTGATGGTTGTCAATGAAGATACACCGAAACCTAAATCAAAGCAGTTGATGAATGCTTCAGAATGTGATAGTAGTAGCATCTTGATGCCTCTGAAAGAAAACATTCCAAAACCTAGATCAAAACGGAAGAAATCTGAAGATTGTGGTTTGACAGTCGTAAAAGAAGATGCTTTGAAACTCAGGGCAAAGGATATTAGCATACCGGAGTCCGAAGTAATTTCTGTGACTGATGTTACAGAATCCAGATTAAAGCGTCATGTTCATAAATCCAGAGTGGATATTGCTGTTGAGTCTGACATACCAAAATTTGAGCCCAAGCAGCAGGTGGACATATTGAAGGATGAGGGTAAAAATATATCTGTGATGGAGAGTGATGCTTCAAAACCAGAACTGAACTCTTCGGATTGTGAAGAAAATATTATAATTTGTGTCATTGAAGACACCGAAGAATTAAGGCCAAAACAAACAGGTGTGAACAAAAAAATGAATCGAGAGTCAGAATTTAAAGGCATTGTTAACATTCAGGGTACAAAAGTGGGGTTGCGATCGAGTTCAGAAAAAGTGTTGATCACAGAGGAACCAATAAAAGATAAGACACAACATTCGGTTAAACCAAAGTGTGTCAGTACAAACCGTTGCAAAAGAGGACGCACTAAGAAAGCTAAGGAGAAGGATGTGCTCAAACTAGATCATAAAACCTCCAGTGCAGATGATAGTTCACTCACTTTGCACAAGATTGCTGATAAGAATCTTTGTATGGATAATGTCTCAGATATAACAGAAGCATCTGAGTTGAAAGAAACCAGCATTTCAAAAGGGGATTCTAAACATTCCTTACCGATACAATCTCGTAAGAGACTAGCAGATTCGAATCCTGTGCTGCGTGAAGTTCATCATGGGAAAGTAAATTCCAGTCTTGATGACCATATTGATACAGAAGGTTCAAAAATAAAGAGATTGTCAGAAAATTTTGAGAATGTAAATGCAAAATCAACCTATGATTATAGTCCCATGAGTTCACCATCGAGAACAAAATTCTCTAACGATGGAGACAATGATAAAACTCCATCACCTCCATCATCAAAATCCTTACTTAGCAGTCCGAGTTCGTTGCTTCGAGCTTTCGCTTCACCATTAAGAAGTCTCGAATTAAATCAGAGTCACAAGAGTCATCACAAACCTCCGTCAGGCGGCAGAGCACAGTACTTGGTTGGTCTTGCAGTTGCTGTAAATGACATGGAATCTCCCCAGGCCTTGTCACTTGTTCCTCCACGAAAGCCTGAGGAATCCAGAAGTATCATCGTTGCTTCACCACCCTCATTACCACTGTCAAGGAAGAAACTTGTATATGGCATGTCGGATGGTGATGGAGCATCTGATGCGTCATCTCTAGAGAGGCAAGTACCATTTGCACATGTTTAAACACTGGTAGGTACCCAAAATGTAATATCATTATAAGGTGTTCTTTACAAAGTACGGAACACCTTATATGGAGTCTTGTTTGGTCTCTGTCTGTCTGTGTTTGAGTAGAGTGAACATGAGAAGTTAGCTGTGTCTGTTAGTCAGACCACCTGCCATAATATGCCACATTTTTGCAGAACCAGCAACATTTTTAATTTTCATATGGCCAACTGCCTTTATCGTGATCACCTGTCTGACTTGTATCCTGTCCACTTTCTGCATTTTGTGCCATGGTTGTGTACATATTTTAATCGTTTATTTGTTGGACACAAAGAAAGATGGCTGATCTTTTGTATCAGTCTGTAGAAATGAAAATTTCATCGCCCTTTAGTCCCTTACATGAGTGATAGACTAAGTGACAGATCCATGCAATGGTGCATTCTCTTACTGAATTTACCATATAGCGGGGTCGCATCTTATGTTATATTCTCGCAATTGCACAAAGTTAGAATTACCTTTGAAATCCCTTAAATTACCCTCAAAATACATGATTTTTAATATGCTGGACTGCTTCTGTGGTCTAGTGGTCACAGATCCTGAGGTCCTTAGTTTGATTCCTTGCACTACCAAATTTTTGTGAGAAGTCTGGAACTGGGTCCACTCAGCCTTGTGAGGGTAACTGAGGAGATATTTAAAGGAAGTAGCGGCTCTGGTCTGGAAAACCGAAATTAACGGCAGTGGGGATTCATTGTGCTGACCACGCAACACCATCTGTCCACTAAAGTTGGCACTAACCTCGCCGACAAGCAACGGTCGCTTGGTCAGTATAGTTTGCTTGCAGACTCAAACCATGGAGTTTGTTTTTTTGTTTGTGTAATGTCTGTAATATGTAAAATAAAAGTATATATACAAGTAAAATTTGCAGTGAGCAGGGACGGGCTTTGGTGATCGAGAGCAAGTCTTGGACAAAGCGGTTGGTTTTGGTACACCTGGAGAAGTTGAGTGCTTGTTTTCTCTTGAAAAACGGTGACGGGCAACTATTGCTCTTATCCCCTAAGCTGCTTAAACATTTCTTGGTATGGTTTCAGTACGTGCACAATACCACATGTGATTTTGAGGCTGTGTCTCATAGAGGGATTGTAGCCTGAAATTAAATCATTCAGATGCTTCATTGCTTGGAAAACTTCAGCAAATTTATGAGGATTCCTAGTTGCTGGCTCTTCCTTTTTGTTGTCAGCTTCTTGATATTGTGTAGAACTTATCAGTTTCTGTAACGCTTTGTTAGCCAATGTTTCTTGGTGGTCCTAAATTAATTTTTGAGTTTCATTTTTGGGGAGTTTTCTTGGGGGGGGGGCATGTGTGGTTGAATGCATGTATGATGCAACTCCACTGTACTATGATTTGTGTTTCCAGTTGTTCAGTAAAATTCATGAGTAGATGTATCTCTTTCATGTTTATTTTGACATCCATTGATTTGATATTCAGTATGTGGTCTGCCCAATGGCTGTAGTGTCAGAAACAAAATCAAGGGCTTCCAAAAGCTTAACATGGTGGTAGAAGTAATATAATACAATGGTTCAGTATTTAGTGATTACAGGCAGAAATGGGAAATATTAATGTTTCTGTAAGTTGGTTAGGTGATCAACATAGGCAGGTTTCATTTTATCAGGACCTAAACTGATGGACTAATATGTTAAGCTTTGATATTTGAAGTTTGTGGTGTGGCCAGTTCGATTTCCAGCCATATTGACCCATTATGGAGTACACTCAGTTTTGTTTAACAAAGGAAATAATTCTTTGTACAACTTGTTCTTATCCTCTGGTAAAGCAGCCAGTGTATGAAGCTGGTGACTTGTCTCCGTCTGTTTATTTATTTTAGGTAATATGACACAGCTGTCAGTAGCTGAAATGGTAGGATGATCAGTGAATAATGAATTAAGAGGATGTGAAGGAAGCAGTTGATACCAATACTTGAGTTATATATTGTTTTCCAGGCCTCAAAGTTCAACTGCAGGATGTGAGACTGCATCATCAGCCTGCATCTCTAATCTTGCAAATGTTCCTTGTAAACGGGCGCTTAAACAGCCCTTTGGTGAAGAGGGTACTCTGCCTTCTAAGGTATGATTATGTTGCATATAAACATTGTTTGTAGTCTTGCTTGCCACTGATGTACATACATATATGACCTTTTGCAGGTTGAATTATGTTACAAATCTGTATACATATTATAACATGTATTACCATTGCTATGTGACGTTTGCGAGAAGGAACATGCATTGCTTGGTAACAGCTGGCAAACACGTCGACAGTATCCGAGCTCTTGCTAGGCAGCCTCCCATAACAACAATAGACGGATTGTTGGAAGCAAGGACCCCAGGCTGGCTAAGTGAAGTAGTTGGTTCGTGAGTGGGTGAGACAGCTGAGGTTTGGCAGTTGAGTTCAGCTCTCCAAGGAATGCTGCAAAGAGATGGTGCTGTAATGAGTTGACAGTTGACAGGAGTTCAGTTGTGGGATATTTGCTGGACAGTAATGACATGAGCATGGGAAGCTGAAGAGTCGACACCGTTAGAAGCCATTACTAGAGAATGGCTGTTGAAGATACAGCAGGCTGGAAAAATGTTAAGTGGGTACTGTGGTGATTTGTAAAGTGTGGATATTAGTGGTAGTGCTATAATTACTTGTAGTTCCAAATGGTGTTTAAGTGGTCAATAAATCTATTCACCAGTCCATACCCCGTCTATCGTCAGGCATCCCGAAACATGTGGCAGTATGTGATGACACTTCTTTATTTTAAAATAGCCAAACAAACTCGATGTGAAAAAGGATAAAGTGAAAGCCTGTTCTCGCTTGGCCCGCCTATAGGATGCAGACTCCTGGCTTCAAATTAGGCATTCTCAAGGCATAAATTTTTAGATTTTATGAAAAATGTCACAGTCTGAATTCGGTTTCACACTTAAGAGAATTTTCATATTCAGCTTATACTGTGTGAGTTGTGAGAGAAGACATGAATTGGTGCTCGCACCTTTCAGTTGCAATAAGTAGTGTGAAAGGACATGGTCATAGAATTTAATATTTTTAATATAATGATATAAGAAAACTTCATTCGAAAAGTATGTGATGCGAACAGCGGTAAGTATTGTCATGTGACTGTGACCTCACAGCAAATTCGGGATGGAAATAGATTTATTTTGCCAAAATTCCCCGTATTTATAACTGTTCACAGGCATTCACAGTCGTTTACCATTAACCACTTGGTTACCCTAGGTTGGTTCCATGCCATCTGTCATTCAGACCCACTCGTTGGCTGTTTTGTGACAGACTGTCCCATTGGCTGTGGCATGCTTATTTATCTAGCCCAACAGCAGACAGTCTAGGCAGCACTGCCTTCAGCAGTTCCCAACTGCTGTGCATGTGGTGGCTGCAGTGCCCGTGGCAACTCCCTGATGGTTGTGCATGTGTTCAGTGCTGGAGATATGCGTTTACTGTGACATAGCTTAGTAATGGGCATTTCATTGATATTTCTGCGATTGTAACTTGCTGGATTTTAGACTTGCCACAATGTACATTCTCTAAAACGTCTTTGAAGGTATGTCATACCTTGAGTAAGGCAGCCTTATGGAAAAAAAGAACCTGTCTGTTCAGTGAGATCTTTTAGTGTGGCATATAGACGCGTTTCTAGGCAACAACTGCGGATCAAACAACAAGACAACAGCTATTGCTAGGCAGCAGATTCTTAACAAGCAGTAGTTAAACTACAACAATAGAGGAACTGTTGGGAATGGTCTGTGCGGTCCATGCTGAGATGTTATAACCAGGATGGTTTGGAGCAATGAGCTTAGTCATCAGTTTAAAGTAGTCTGTGAAGAGAAGACTAGGATGTTGGTGTGAAGTGGCCGCTAGCTGGGAGTTGGTTGAGGTACAAAGAGAATTGTAAGGGAGTCTGTTACGATAAGACTAAATCATTGCAGTAGGCACAGAAGGAGAAGAATCTACACTGTTAAAATCTCTTGCCAGGAAATGCCTAGTGAAGACTGAGAAGACTTCATATATGCAATAGTTACAATGATATTTTTAGTGTATAATTCTGTGAGACTGTTATAGTTACTTGTAGTAACGATTTGTAAGTGGTCAGTAAACCCAGTCACAAATCCAAAACCTGGTCGAAAGTCAATCTGAATCATGGTGCCTTAAATAATGTCTTAAGTTGGATTTGAGGTTTTCACATATGTGACTGAGGAATAGGACCTTGTGGGCTGTAACACAGAGTACTTTGGTAGATGTCTTGAATAATATTTCTATGTGTATTTTTTTTTTTTTTTTTCCCCACAGAAAACACGCGTGTGGTTTCCTGATCCAGAGGTATCAGACACATTGTTGTTTTATGCAAATGACACTGTGGAAAGTGGTGTTGGACGCATGACGGGAAGAGAGTTGCCATGTTCTGAGACAAATATGTTGCCCAATACTAGAAGAAGAAGGAGATGCCGTACATTATTCAGCAGTGACGCTGATGTTCATGATGAAAGCCATGTTTCTGTCCGCTCATCTAACTTAACTGGAATCTATGGATGTGCAAAAGGTAAGACTGAATTTGCTATGGATACTGAATTTCAGAATGAAAACACTTGATGTGTCAGATTTGCCTCTTCTGCTGTCTCACTTCAGAAACAGAGTGATGAAAAGAATCTCTTGACCTAAGAGGCAGGAAGTGAGAGAAATATGGGGAAGATTGCATAATGAGGATCTTTACAATTTTTATTCAACAAATGGTAATATAGTCTTCAAATCCATGATTATGGCTTCATAACTTGTACTCTACTCAAAATATAATTGGAATGATCAATTGAAGGAGGACGAGATGGGCAGGACACGTAGCACGAATGGCGGAGAAAAGGCTGCATATAGGATATTGGTGGGAAAACCAGAAGGAAAGAGACCACTGGGAATACCAAGGCATATGTGGGTGGACAATATTAAAATGGATCTTAGAGAGATAGGATGGGATGATATAGATTGAATTGATCTGGCTTAGGATAGGGACCAGTGGAGGGCTCTTGTGAATAGGGTAATGAACCTTTAGGTTCGATAAAGTTCTTCGAAGCTGTTGAGTAGCTGTGCAATTGGTAGCTTCTCAAGAAGAGCTCAGCTCCATGATTGAATGAGTGAATCCATGTTGTGAGATGGGCAGGACATATAGCAGTTATGTGAAATTTATGTTAAAATTTTTGCCCAGAGATCTCAAGGTAAGAGAATTTTGGAGATGTGGGTATGGAAGGGAGAATAATATTAAAATGGATCTTAAAACAGTGGGATGCAAGGATCAGGACTGGAATCAATTTGCTCAAGCTAGGATCCGGTGGTATGTTTGTGAACAGGTTTTGAGCATTCATCTTCTGTAAGTTTGAGAAATTTCGTACTAGCTGAGCAGCTCTCAACTTCAAAACAGCTGTGCTCCATGGAGTTCTATGTTTCATTTGTGGTTCCTCGGACTCTTGTCTGTATTTCTTGGTACAGGACCACAATTGTGTTATATCAATCTGTTGTCATGAGCTAAGGTGACTAAGTCAGTATGGTGACTGGCTCCTGCCTGGATGACCAAATTCAAATCCTGGCAGGGGCAGAGACTCGTCTCTTCCCTACCACATCTGTGCTAGTTTGGGGGCCCACCAAACTTATCCAGTTGGCTGGGGCATGACTTTGCCCATTCACCTCCATCTTGTGCCAAGATTAATGCAGGGAGCTGTACCTGTACACCTCGACATATCCTCATGGTGTGATGCTGAATTAAGCACAGGGGCGGATTTGTAATTTAATTGTCACATAAATGAAATTGTATAAATGTATCAGCTTCTGCCTTTCTTTGATAATTTAACAGTATGAGGTATACCAAGGTTGCTTAAGGGTGGGCCATAATAATCTGGCCCATCTACTGCGGCCTTCAGTGGTCTATTGTGCTTGTACCAAAGTTAGTATCATTGATTGCTTCCATAAAGACATGACAGTAAATGAAATAGTGTCACAGGGAGCATTTGATTCAATGGGAACAGTGTTGTACATTATCGTGAAATTATGGATTGATGAGGTTGGTCTGGAGATAATGCTCATAGGCTTAATATTGTGCATGCCTGAAAGCCAGAATAGTTTGCCAGAGGAGGTGTTCATCGCTAGGCAGCTGCTAGGTAAACATGTTCCCACAGCAACCACTACACAAGCAAGAGTAGAGGTATTGTTGGAAACGATGTTTTATGTTCGGACTGTGCAAAATGGTTATAAAAGAAGGGAGCTGAGGTTTGGTAGTGCTGTGTGCATTTGAGCTCTGCAAGGGAGGTTGAGAAGAGATGGTGATCCATTTCAGTTGAAATAGCTGGCAGGCAGTTCTGAATGAGAGCCAGTGAAAAAAGGGCCTGAGCATGGAAAGCTGAAGAATCTCAACTGTTAGAAGCTGTTACCAGGGAACGACTGGTTAAGACACAGCAGGCTGGAAAAAGCCTTAGTGGGTGCTGTGGTGAACTGTAAAGTGTGGAGATTAGCAGTAGCACTGTAATTGCCTGTAGTTCCTAGTGGTGTGTACAAGGCGTCAGTAGATCAATATCCATTCCATACCTCATCTAATAGTCACACTCTAAATTCATAACAATGTTAGTTGGTGCTTAGCTTGAATATCATCTGGCTGCAGTTTTTCATGGTTTTCCTCAGACCCTGCAGGTAAATTGTGGTGTAATACCTCAATGAGGCAATGACTGCTTCCTTCCAATTTGTCATTCCGTTATCCTATCAGATAATGCTGCATAATCAAAGCACTGAAAGCATTACTAAATAACCTGCAGCTTAACTTCCTGTTGCCCTTTCTCATTTCGGGCTGCTTGAGAATCTGTTTATGAATGTGGTCATATAGGTTGAGACTGATGGAGTGCTTTATTTTTTTATTGAGAACTTGCCAAGCTGTGAGGAGCCCCCAGCGTGGAGAAACAAGGTGCCATTAGCTTTCTTTAGATAAGCTACTGTCTCTGATGAGGCTGTCCACAGCACATTCAGAATGTTTCCATCTTCTTCTCACACCCCTCTCCCCTCTTTTACCTCCTCCTACTCCTTTTATCGTTGCCATTTTATATGGGTTGATGAAGAGTAAATGAGCTGGGATTGCACAGTCAGTATAGCGACTGGCTGCAGGCTGGATGACCGAGGAGTCAGAGGGGCAAGAGTTCTCTCTTCATGTCATCCAAACTGGTTCTGGGGTCTTACCAGCATCCTCTCCAGGGGGTACGGGGGGTAAAGCAGCTGGGATGTGAAGCTGATAGCTCACCTCCAACTAGTGCTGAGGTCAAGAAAACGTGGCTCTGTACACTCACTTCCCAATACGCCTTTCATGGTGTAGTGCTTAATTAGTTAAGCACAGGGACAACTTTACTTTACTTTACCTTCATGGACAGCAAGTTCTACCCTTCCACACCTTTGCTTTTCAATTTTTTTACCAATGTTTGCCTCACAAGTCCAGTGTTAGTGTCCTTGCCTGTAGGGGTGATACATAGCACTACCACCATGGAAGCAGAGAATGTCCAACAGGAACCCTGGAAATCTTCAAAACTCCATGCAAAGAGGGCATCTTGTTCTTCAGATATCAATGTTTTTATTTTGCTTATGACCACAGAGGGCTCATGCTGATGGTGTTCTGGTGATACAGTGGCCAGCCTGGTGAACTGACATAGATACCAGTCATGCTTTGAAAACAAATTCAGAATACATACATTTCAGTGTGTTTTCTAATACCTTTTTCCACACTATATAAACCAGTCTAAAAGAGTTACTTGTCATAAATAGATCAGTGCATCCAAGAAAATTGACTAAGCAGTAATATGGCTCTAATTTTTGTTTCATGTTTGCAGAAATTTCAACACAGAGTCAAAGTTCACCTGATCTTAGTGGCCTGGCATCGCAGGGATCAGTGGAAGAAATTACCACAGAACTTTTGAACAGTCAAGATGCGTTTTTCCCACCGCTGATTAACTGTACCCACCCAATTGAATGTGTTGCATCGCGTCTCACGACTCACGTAATGTGGTTAGTATGAAACTTGACATCTTCTGGAAACTAGAATTATGGATGTAGTCTGTTCAAATGAAGTACTGTGTGGACCTATAACCCTACATTGTAAGGGTCCTGTGGCAAGTGCGTGTGTGCACACACACTTGCATTGGTTTTTTTACCAACAGTCTGTGATGCTCACCTAACCTGCCATCCAATCAATGCCAGGAGATATTCATCATCGTAAAATGTCTGGGACAGATAGCTGACCTCTCACCTCTATCTAATGCCAAGGTTATGCATATATGGAACTATACTTCCACTCCTTCATGTGTCTTCGTGGCATAATGTTTAAGTACAGAGACTTTTTTAGCCTACATTCCTTCATTGAAGCCATCACAAAACCGCAAACTCGTGGAAACACAACAATGGAAATATGTTCACCAACAATAAACCCAACTGCTCAACTCGACACTGCTTTCCACACTGATTCAAGAAGTGGTATTTTGATGTACTCATAACCATTCGCGCGCAAAATTCAAATTTTGGGAACTTTTTGTTAGCACCACATATATATCGCATGATGATCTTGTAGGTTAAAACATGTCATACATGTATCATCTATGACAAGAGTGACAGTATAGCAATACAAGTAGTTACACCTTTGAGACTGGTCGTACAAATTAAATCGTTTATTGTTATGTTTTTAATTTTGTTGTGATTGCAATTGTAGGACAAAAGCATTGGTAGTTGAGCTGACTCGTAAGAACATCTGTACAATTGGAGATCTCAGCCGACTAGATGAAGCTAGCATTAATAGACTTCCAATAGCTAATCCAAAGATTTCCCATGCCAAAGCAGTTCTTCAGGTGAGTAGGCATTCAGACTTTTGTTTTCCCCTTCATTTTCATCAGCGTATCAACACAGGCCAATAAAATAAATATTTTCCAGACAATTCTAATTTATTTTTTAAAAATGTGAATAGCTTTTCTTAATTTTTGTTCATGGCCATTCACAGTTCCAACACATCACCAACAGATGGAAGGAATAGCCACTAATGTGTAAGGTGCCCTCACTTGGTTTTGTACGAGGTGTGTTCAAAAAATGACAGGAATTTCCGTATTTTGGAAAAAATATTTATTCATTCGTCTACATTAATGTTGTCGCCTTCAAAATAGTCCCCATTCGATATTATGCACTTACGCCAGCGCTTCTTCCAATCATCGAAACACTTCTCAAACTCGATTTTTGGGATAGCCTTTAGCTCTTTCAGCGATGCGCTTTTAATGTCATCTATGCTTGTAAAACGACGGCCCTTTAAGGTTCTCTTTATTTTTGGAAATAGGAAAAAGTCACACGGAGCCATGTCTGGCGAATATGGAGGCTGGGGCATCGTTACAGTATTGTTTTTGGCCAAGAATTCACGAACAAGCAACGAAGTGTGAGCAGGTGCATTATCGTGGTGCAAAAGCCATGAATTGTTTTTCCACAAATCCGGGCGTTTTTTTCGGATTGCCTCACGCAAACGGCGTTGAACTTTCAGGTAGTACTCCTTATTGACCGTTTGACCTTGAGGCAAGAATTCATGATGCACTATGCCATTAAAATTGAAGAACACAGTAAGCATAACCTTCACGTTCGAACGCACTTGTCGAGCCTTTTTCGGTCTTGGCGATCCAGGATGCTTCCACTGAGACGATTGAGCCTTAGTTTCAACGTCATATCCGTAAACCCATGTTTCGTCACCTGTTATAACACGTTTCAGTAATTCTGCATCATCGTTGACTTCCTTTAGTGATTCCTGAGCAACTTCCATTCGCCGCTGTTTTTGTTCAAAATTCAGCAATTTTGGAACAAATTTTGCTGCCACGCGTTTCATACCCAAAACATTCGAAAAAATTTCATGGCATGAGCCAATCGATATGCCAACATCATCAGCGACTTCTCTGATTGTGATTCGGCGATCATTCATAATCATTGCTTTCACTTTTTCCACGTTTTCATCGGTTGTTGATGTGCTGGGGCGTCCGGGGCGCTCGTCATCTGCAACGTCTTCACGGCCATCTTGGAAACGCTTATACCACTCGTAAACTCTTGTTTTACTCATAACAGACTCACCATAGGCCTTTGTTAACATTTCACACACTTTGTAACACTTTATTTCATTTTTTACGCAAAATTTGATACAAATTCTTTGATCCATTTCTTTTAACAAACGAAAATCGCCAAGCTCATAAAAACACGTCTAACCTTAGCGGCTGCCACAGACAAAGTAAGCAATGAATACAGCTGAAAATTTTATTGTACTTCAGGGGCATGTATACCAACATAATAAAAAAAAAATTTTGACAATTGGACTCTCCAAACCCGCGAAATTTTAAAATTCCCGTTATTTCCTGAACACACCTCGTAAGAGAGGAATTGCCATCATCACTATTAAAAAGGCCTAATTGTCATGCTTTCTACTATTGGGCCTGTTGAGACCTGTTCATCTGTCCAAACTTTTTCATTTTTAGTTGTACAGTCCAAAAGGATGTATTCCACAGACTCTTCTAAATGAGAGTCATGTCATATCCTGAGACCATCAAATTAATTTAATACCTGCAGTATGATTACTTCCTTATCAGTGCCATGTCTCCATGTTTTCCTCACTTTGTTTTCTAAATGTGACTTGTGTGATACATTGAAAGCAATTTGAGGTTCAGTAGTTGCTAGTCAGAGAGTCGCCGTGCAGTGGTGGGGTTGCTGTCCATAAACCTTTGGACAGGCTTTCTCTCAGTAGGAATGCATTTCATGATGGAAACTATGAGTTACAACATTTCAGTCCTAACAAAATATTATGAACTATAACTTCCACAAATAATGGCATTTATGTAACTACAACAGTCAGTGAATTTTATTCCATGAAATCGATCACACCATTTTTTCCTGACCTGAGCAGTTTGCAACAGAGTTGGAGTACCACAATCTGTATGGCGATGAACTACAGACTTCATGGTCCAAATTCAGTTCTCAGCAGTGCAAGATTTTCCTCTTCTCCACACCATCCAGACCAATTCTGGGTCCCTTCCAGCCTTCTGTGCAGTGGGTACCGAATTGTTGCTTCCACTGCCATGTTAGGAAAATTTAAGAGAGATAGGTAACCCATGCCAGCAACCACAGCAAGTTGCTCATATAACTAGCGAAGTTGTGGTTGTTATAGAACTGTTCACAAGAAACTGGAAGCAACGTGTTTATGGGATGAGCTCTGACAGGATTATCCCCCAAAAAAAAGTCACTCAAAAAGGAAAAATAAATTGGGAAGAATTCTGTTCTGAATATCCATAACAGTTCTCAGTAGGCCTAGTACTGGAGGTGACAGTGACAACAGTTGGATGAAGTGCAGCCTAAAAGTTATTGTGGTGGGAAGCGGCCTCCGTAGTCTAGGGGTAACATTCCCACCTCATGACTCAAGGTACACGGGTTCAAACCCGGCGGAGGGCGTGGAATTTTTAAGGGCGGAAAAATTCAGGGAACAAGTCCTCCGGGAGGGACTTTAAGCCGTGGGTCCCGTGTTGTAGCTTTACGGCACGTAAAAGAACCCCATGTCTCCAAAGGAGGCCACTGAGCTAAATTAAGAACATTTCCCGCCCAACAGTAGTCTCTAACGCCTCTGGTAGATGGAGGAAGCATTGAGATACCTCTGAGCCAGCCTCGCTGGCTGAGTCGGGACTGATGGTAAGCACCAGTACTGGTAGGGTATAGAGACTGGAAGAAGATCATAGGGGGAAGCACAATAGATCAAACTGGTCGCGGTGCATGGGGAAACCCACCCTCTCTAACAATAACAATAACAATAATATTGTGGTGGGAGTGTGAAGGTTGCCTTGCTCTGGGATGTGGAGCCGTGTACCCATTGCCTGCATGTTCCTATGAAACACTGGGAAGGTTCTACCAGACCGCACAGTGTCACATCCCAGAACACAGTAATCTTAGAAGTGTTATCCCTCTAGTCTTGATCATACTTCTTCCTCTCTTAACTGAATATTGATGTTTCTCCCCTACATTGTACATGTTATGTAAACTTTTGCTAGTACTGTCATGGTACATTCAGGTATGTACTCTGCAGAAATGTGTTGCAGTTCTGAAAGCATGTAGAGGAACACAGAGGACAATAGTGTGAATGTAATTACTTTATATTTATCTGCTTTACTTCGTTTTTATTTCTAGTTTTAAGAGATTTGAAAATAGTGAAATGCAATATAGAGGCATTTTTACTGTTAGTCATGTATGTCTGTACTGGCACCATAATTGCTATGTTGATTATTTTCCAGGATTACATGAAGTCTCTAGAAGTGGAAAGTGAAAGGTCAACAAATATGAAAGGTAAGTGATAGACAGTGACTGTTCAATAGGAACATGTGCAGTGTTTTGGACAGTGAAGCTGCAATCAAAGCACTTGACAGATAGCGTAACAGATAAACTATATATCAGTCTCAGATTACCAGCAATCTGTAATATGACTGACTGAATATAATGGTGCAACTGATATGGGTGCCAGGACGTGGGAATTGAAGAGAATGAATGACATTGCCGATCAGTTGGATGTTCATTAATACATGGCATCTCAGACAGAGTTGCCAAATGGAGATATTGGAACTCGGTAGGAACAAACTGAGACAATTGACAGAACTACTGTCACTTGAAAGGACATCTGTTCAGTAGTTCCAACTGTGAAGTGGTCCATAACAAAGTAAGAAATGGCCTCGCATGTCCTCTGTGACTGATTTTCTAGCTGAATTAAGATTTTGTCATCTGGGACCCTGTTTTATTTTAAGTGCAGGACAGTTAGGCTTGGCTGGTTGCAAGGGTTGCTTAACATGCATCCCTCTAGGCTAATCTAGTTTAACAAAAGTGAAGTGACATTCATGATGTAGTGTGAGAGTAAAAACAAACAAACAAAACTGCAGCAGACTCAATTGTCAGCTTTGTGGGAGAATATTCATAATGCCTCAGTTAATTACCGTAGCTTCCCGTAATTGTATGAGACTTGTCCATTACATCTATTTCAATAATATGACTCATTGATGTTGTATTGAAAGTGACCGGATTGTAATATAGTTCACAGAAGGCCCAGACATTTCAGAAGAACATATTTCCTGCATCTTGAGGGTCCAAGAATAAGCTGGGCATAACTTGCTGCTGATTTCTGCCAGTTTTTTGCTTCACTTACTGTGTGGCCCTGAAGAGAGAGAGTATATTCTTCTGAAATGTTGGGCTGTCTGCATATCATACCCAGAAGACCATACTTTGTGTATTAATGATGCTTTACAATCATTTGCAGCAGACTGTACACCTCCCCTTATTCTTCTTATTATTGTCACGTGTTGGGTGTATAACGCAACAGATAACTTCACGCCGTATTTGATATAGCGAATTTTATTCCACATTCGCTCTTACAATCACACAATTTACAATCTGACAATTACTGCCATCGGCAGTATCACAAATACTACACTGCAAATGCTGGTTGACTGACAGGCTGACTCGTAACTCGTAGCTCGAGAACTTGAGAACTGAGAACTGTCTGCTGGCTAACTCAGAACTAACTGTGAATAGTCTTTGCTGCTCCGTATCTAGCCTGTTCCGGACAACACAGGAAACAGCCACATAATAGGCACCACTGTTGTCTGCCGCCATCATGCTAGCAATGCTGTGTACCGCTGTTATTACTGTTGTCTCTCACAACCACTGTTTACCCGCCTTGCCTAGCATCCGCTGTTTACTCGCGTTGCATAGCGACCAGTGCGCTGGGACTCTGGCTCACTGCAGCTCCGCTCGGCTCGTCACCGCCGCGGGGGGGGGGTCCTGCATAGCGCGACACGTCACATTATTATTGTTGTTTTTATTATTAATTTAATGCCTTTCCAGGCTTTGTCTGCTGCTGTCTACTGACAAGTTGCATATCTCGTAGGCTCTACAGTTGCAGTGTTGTTATAGACATTGTGTTCTGTTTCAGAGTTTAGTGCCAGTTTGTTCCTTAGCCTTTCACATGTAGTTCAGTTTTGTTCAGTACAGTTTTTCAAGGAACTTAAGACGAAAGTGATTTCATGTAGTGCTGGCTACCATTCAGTCCAGAATTTTTGTCTTCTGTCTAAAATCACAAAAATATAATTTTGTATGTGGTTCTGTATGGGCGAGAGACTTTGTCTCTGACATTAAGGGATGGACATAGACTGAGGATGTTTGGGAACAGGTTGCTAAGGAGAATGTTTTACTTGAACCAAAGAGGGATGAGGTGAGGAGGTTGGATAGAACTGCATAATGACAAGCTTCATAACATGTACTCTTTACCAAGTATAATGAGAATGATTAAGTCAAGGAGGATAGAATGGGTAAGACATGTAGCACGAATATTGGCAAAGATGAATGCATGTGAGATATTTGTGGGAAAGCATAGGGAAGAGATTGCTAGGAAGGCATAGGTGGGTCGATAGTATTGAAATGGATGGGCTCTTGTGAGCACGATAATGAACCTTTGGTTTCCATAAAATGCTGGGAGATTGTTTTTAAATGTTGCTGTGTTAATATCCAAACCTCTTCCCGTTAATAATTAACTGATTAGCAGTGTTGAATACAACATGGATAGTGGGTATGTCAGGATCTTTGGATTGTGCATCATTTTTTATTGTCTGTGCTGTTTCTCTCTTCCAGTACTGTTAATGGTCTAGAGTTTGCTATAAGTATTTTTCTTTGTGGTTGGTCTCTCAGAGGTTGTCATGTGATAAAACATAGGTGTTAGATTGTAGAATCTTACCCAGAGCCTTGGGTTCAGTCTGAGATGACTTCGTGTGAGATTCGTAGTGAATGAACTGCCACTGGAGCCTGATTTGGCTGAGTTTTCCCTTCCAAATCATTATCCTGCAGATGCTTCATGCTCATCTGTCTCACACCACTAAGGTGTGCCCTAGCCCTGACCGCACAACACCTTATCACATCCTTCGTCTTAAGTTGGCAGCTTTGTCTCTGACCTGGCACTTGGCTGGTTACAGAATAAAGAAACTAATGGTTTTGATAAGTAAATATTTCTCATTATCATGAGAACAACACAGTATATGAACATACTGTTTATAACATAATATTTATGTCTCATTAGAGACCATAGATTTTATCAGAATGCCGTTATGTTGTGCTAGCATGTGTTTATGAAAGATTTCCTGTGGTTCACTTGAGTTTACTATCCTTGTTTTGTTTCTTAATCTTTGATTTTCAGAAATTTGAAATTGATCTCTATTATCAGGAAGTGTAAATATTGACTTATTTTTTAGCAGGTGGCACAAGTAGAAGTGACAGTGTTCAGCTGGAGCCTGAATCTGTATCATCACTGGAGGCACGTCAGATAAGTGCAGAGGATGTTGTCAAGTTCTTTCTTTCAAACAGAGGAAGTTTAGCAGCAGTGTTAGGAGAAGCAAGCAAAGCGGGTCAGTGTGGCGTGAGGTTGCATCAAGAAATGTTAAGTGTGTTCAGAGGTGCAGGCAGCAGTTCAGAAGTAACAGAAGAAAGTGTCGATACCGAAGCCAGATCTGGAAGAGGTACTGTCTCAGAGCACTCTTTTGATGAATTGCCTCAAACAGAGGTGATGAAATATTTGGTGAAACATAATCCTGATGGACTGTGTAAAGTAGTATCTGAAAACTCAGCCCTGGCCAGCAAAGTTTCACAGAGTTATTTACAATCACAGCTTGCTTCTGGACATCTTTCTCACAAAGATTTTTTTGACAGATTGTTCTCTACAGGCTGTAAAAATACTCTACTAAGTGCCATGCAGTCCTATCTCATGCTTAAAACGTCCCCAGAAGAAATTGTGGAGAAGTTGCCAGCAGAGAGTGTAATGCAATACGTGACATCGAAGCTGAATCTCATAGACAAAGTTGTCTTGTGTATAGAAGGCATGATGAGTGATGCAACAACAGAGATACCTGCTGACCACTACCAGAAACTTGTGGAAGCAGTAGCAAATAAAGTAACACAGATGGAATTTACAACAATATATTACAATATTACAATGGCTAATTTGAGGTCAAAATAAATTTCCTTGTTAAATTCTTAGTTATTTATTTTTCTTGTAATTTCCATATGCCGTGTTGCTATACTTGTGTCAGCATCCAACTGTCGGACAACTGTATTTTCTATGGATCACCGCATCAATGACGTGTATAAGACTTGAGGTTTTCATGGCATTGACTACAAGGGTGAAATTCCATCTGGATGTGATTCTGTTTAGTTTGGTAGAAGTTTAGCAGCATTCCTGTAAAGAATCTTACAAACTTCAACCAGGCTGCATGTTGTCACATCGCAGAATATAGTACTCTTCATATATATATATTACAGTTCTGCTGCATTTCTCTTGCATTAAGTTAAAAATTGTGCGCTGTAATGAAAATAAATTATGTGATCGTCTTCCTTGCTGTTGTTACACATACAGTGTATGCTGTGGTGAAACTACACCAGAAGTCTTCTTCTGTTTTCCGGTGTTTTATGACAGGGTCATTTCATGATGACATATTTTATCCTTGTTTGTGACAGTGTGTTGCAATTGCCTTGTTTCTCATAAGTGTTGCGGCAGTTCCCATGTTTTTACATGGTTATGCTGTGTTTTAAATACAGCTAAGCTGTAACCAATGTGCCCTTTGTATGACACATTAATCTTCCACAGTTAAATTGGTTACAAAGGGTAAATTTTGAATTGGTGGTCTTTAGGAAATGTAGTTTTGTATTGCTTGCAGATGGAACATGTAGTGGCATAGGATATTAAATTTATATCCACTGGTAAAGTGAAGAGTGGTCAAGAGGTTTATATTGTCTTGCCTTTACCATTTTTTAATAAAACAGAAAACAGTATGCATTGTCGGTATGTTGTGATGTTGCAACATTTGCATTATGTGTCACTATGAAGATTTAAGGCTGTATTTTAGGTTTTTTTCATTTTATTTGTTTAATAAGAGTTACTTGTGGGTATACTGTATCCTGAAACTTTGTTTTACTGTCATTGCATAACAGTGAAGTTTCTGTGTTGTATGTGGAGATTGTTAGTGTGGAAGATCATCAGCCCTCACACAATGTGAAAGCCGATCCTAGGTTATAATACACTTTTGTAATTTGTATGAGCAATTTCAGATGTGAGATTTGAGGTCCTAACAGCAGTAAGTGTTGATGTGGGGATGTGGCACTATAATTTGGTAGATAGGTACCAGAATTTTGGAGAAATCTGCCACCTCCATCTTGTAACATATAGGTGCCTCCAAAACTTTAGTATCCGTCTGCCAGTATATACATTGTTGCATGCTAGAAGACTGTGATCTTAATATTTCAGCCAGTATGATGCTCAGCACACTTATTGCCTTCATAACATATCCAGGTATTTCATCTGTTTTGTTTGTTTTCTTTGTATTACTGTTAAAATTCTGTTCTTTCATAACTTTTAAGTTTTCATTTTGTGAATCAGTAGGTACAGACTGATTAGTAATTTACAAATATAACATGTGAATATGTATTCCATTTACTGAGAGCAATATATATTTGTGGCTTCTTGAACATTTTCATAATAAGCTTATTTTTTTATGGTGAGGAGTTCTTAGCATCAAGCTGTAGGACTGCCCCTTGTCGGCTGTTGTGACTGTTTATTCAATGTATTCGCAGTTTCCCTCCATACCTGGAGGGCATCTCCTCCATATGCAACTTCATACAAAATTTTATCCAATATTCTTCTCTCAAGGTCAAGCCCATAGATGAAATTATTGGAGATCGTCAGTGTGGGTTTGGATGAAACAGATCAACTACTGATCAGACCTTTTGTTTTCATCAGATATTTGAGAAAAAACGGGAGTACACTGAGACAGTACGTCAGCTATTTGTAGACTTCAAGAAAGCCTGTGATTCAATTAGGAGGCAAGTATTGTACAATATTCTGATAGAGTTTGGGGTACCCATGAAACTAGTTAGGCTGATTAAAATGTGTTTAAACAAAACGTATAGTAAAGGTAAAACATTTGTCTGATAAATTTTCTATCCAGATGGTATAAAACGAGATGCTTTATCTCCACTCCTTTTCAACCTTGCTTTAGAATATTTCATTAGGAAGGTCCAGGAAATCCAGGTGGGACTGAAATTAAATGGGACACATTAATTGTTGGTGTATGGCAGTGATGTAAATCTACTGGGTGATAATATAGATACCATAAAGAAAAACACTAAGTATATGTTGTTGTCTCATCACCAAAATGCAGGGCAAAATCAGCACATAAAGATAGGTAACAAAATTNTGTGGGTTTGGATGAAACAGATCAACTACTGATCAGACCTTTTGTTTTCATCAGATATTTGAGAAAAAACGGGAGTACACTGAGACAGTACGTCAGCTATTTGTAGACTTCAAGAAAGCCTGTGATTCAATTAGGAGGCAAGTATTGTACAATATTCTGATAGAGTTTGGGGTACCCATGAAACTAGTTAGGCTGATTAAAATGTGTTTAAACAAAACGTATAGTAAAGGTAAAACATTTGTCTGATAAATTACCAGGAGAATTGGAGGTTGACAGGAGGTTGGAGAAAACTGCATGAGCTTCATAACTTGTACTCTTCTCCAAGTATAATTAGAATGATCCAAGTCAAGGAGAATNCATTAGGAAGGTCCAGGAAATCCAGGTGGGACTGAAATTAAATGGGACACATTAATTGTTGGTGTATGGCAGTGATGTAAATCTACTGGGTGATAATATAGATACCATAAAGAAAAACACTAAGTATATGTTGTTGTCTCATCACCAAAATGCAGGGCAAAATCAGCACATAAAGATAGGTAACAAAATTTATGAAAATGTGGCACAGTTCAGATATTTGGGAACGATAACAGATCGAAACCTGATGCAGGAGGAAGTTAAGAGGAGGTTGAACTCTGGTAATGCTTGCTATCATTCAGTCTAGAACCTT